AATCAAGAATGGCACCCCCAAGGCAATTGGGGCAATCAACAAGGAGGCGGCAATTGGAATAACAATAATCAACAACAAGGTGGTAACAATTGGAACAATAACAATCAGAACAACAATTGGGGTAATCAAGGTAATAACCAAGGCAATTGGAACGGGAACAACAACAATTGGAACAACAATAATAGCAATCAAGGATGGTGGAATAATGGTGGTAGGGGCAAGGCTTTCAAAGGCCCCCATGTTCCAACAACCAAACAATCCACCCCCCTTTCAGTCACAAGGGCCTAGTTCTTCGGAAAGTGATATGGGACAGATAGAAATGATGTTCGAGCAGATGATGAAAAAGAACCAAGATTCTGACGCACAATTGGCTTCGCATAACACATCTATCCGGAACCTAGAGGTGCAAATAGGACAAATCTCTCAAGCTTTAAATACCCGCCCAAAAGGTGCGCTACCAAGTGATTCGGTAGTGAACCTGAAAGGGGGTAACAATCATGTGATGGCGGTCACAACTAGGAGTGGAAGAGGCGGTGATGTGCATGCCTCGATTGAGAATCAAGTTGTGAATGATGAAATTGAGTTGCATGATGATGATGCGCCTTTGAATGTTGACAATGTGGTTGAACCAATAGTGACAAATGATGTGCGGATTGATATTGATGATGAGGCCGGGGTAGAGACTCAAGATACCGTGAACCCGTCTAGGGAACACATTATTGATATACCCGAGCCGGCGGTGCCCAAGGCAAAGTCACCCTTGCCTAGACCACCTCCACCATATCCTCAGCGGTTAGCAAAGCAAAAGAACGACAATCAGTTCAAGAAATTCATAGACATGATGAAGAGCCTCACTATCAATGTTCCTTTAGTGGAGGCACTCGAACAAATGCCTGGGTATGCAAAATTTATGAAGGATTTAGTCATCAAGAAGTGCTCTATGGAGTGTGAAACAATAAAAATGACGCACCAAGTTAGTGCGATTGTGCATTCTATGGCCCTGAAACTAGAGGACCCTGGAGCTTTCACTATTCCTTGCACTATCGGAAGTGCGGATTTTGCTAAGGCCCTATGTGACTTGGGGGCTAGCATTAATTTGATGCCGTACTCAGTCTTCAAGACTTTGGGAATT